GTGACCAGTGACCACCCCTCCGGCTAGTCCCGCTCGTTCCGCCTCGCTCGGCGAGAGCACCAGCGTTATCCTCCCCTCAAGCGGGCTCCCAAGCCTCCCTGTGTGTAGCCTCCTGGCTGAGGGCTCCGAGACAAGTGCTCCCTAGTGGCCTGCTACCGCAGGCACCTTGCCTCAGTTTCCCTCTGAAGTTTAAAAACAGCAGCCCCCTCCCTGTGCAAGCAGAGTCATTACAATACTGTTACCTTCCTCTTCGAGAGCACCAGCGTTATCCTCCCCTCAAGCGGGCTCCCAAGCCTCCCTGTGTGTAGCCTCCTGGCTGAGGGCTCCGAGACAAGTGCTCCCTAGTGGCCTGCTACCGCAGGCACCTTGCCTCAGTTTCCCTCTGAAGTTTAAAAACAGCAGCCCCCTCCCTGTGCAAGCAGAGTCATTACAATACTGTTACCTTCCTCTTGGGCCTAGTTCGTCCAGCTGCCCTGGTACGTTCCGGGTTTCGCAGTCCTGCTTGGGGCCTGGCCAACCTGGGCTTGTGAACTCTCCCCTCAGAAGCTAGGAGTCTCGTAGCCCTTCTTGGGCACTATGGGGCTGAGCTTTCCCTCAACAGCCTCCTGGCAGCTCCCTGACTGCTCTAATCAGTCTCTTGAGCTTCCACAGCTGGGTCTAACAACCACACACACCTGAGTGGGAGAGGGGGGATCCTTGGCCCAACTGCTCTATAGACTCCTGCTAGCAGATCCTTAAAGGACCCAGAGACTAACTGCTCACGGGGACCATCCCTTCTGCCCCAGTGACAGCTTCCTGCGCTTCCCTGGACATGGAACAGGCCTCTCCCATCGTCTCCTCCGGCCTTCCAGGTGAGTACCGCTCCACATACTGACTCATGTAAGAAAGGGCTAAAGGGGCTCAGATCCAAATGCCTCCAAAGCCTGGGGAAATGGAGACTCCAAAGCAAATGCTGTCAGTCAGGTGTAGGGTTGCCAGATGATTTCAACAAAAATACGGGACACACTTGCCATGACATCACAATCGACATTCCATCTTATTTAGAAAACACCCAACATTTCTATTTTCTCAATTGGTTTCCCAAACAGAAAGCTCAAATACTGGACTGTCCAGTTCAAAACCAGACACCTGGCAACCCTAGTCAGATGCCCATCTATAGCGCGTGAGCACAAAGCTGCTGTACACACTCCCTGGAGAGAGACCCTGGCAAAAGGGAGAGAGAAGCTGGAATACTTGGAGCCACTGGGGGCAGAAGGATTAGGACAGCTGGAATAGAGACATTTGCATATTTAAAGTGACATGACTGAGAGATCAAATTGCTGTTAAATAACAGCAGTTATACAAGCCAGACGCTCCCAACCAGATGGATAGCAGGGTGTTTGGCAACAGTTAGAGCGGACACAAAACCATACAGCTCTGCACCAGGGCCATCCATGCTGTCTGACTGCGACTCGTGTGGCACTGTTACGAGAGCGACCCTCCCCGAGGGGTGGAAAGAGCTGAGGGGCTGGGGAGGTGTCAGGGTGAAAATGGGGGTAGTAGGGAAGAAAGAGCAACCTGATTTTGGTTGCTCAGCTCCTAGATTGTGAGATCAGCTGCCCTCTCTGTGCAAGGTTATTTGCTATTTAGCAGCCTCTCATCGCCAAGAGAGATATTGGGACGGTTTAATGTTGCTAACGGAAGCGGCTCGGGGGAAAGCCAAAAGGGGCGATACTAATAACGAATGGCTGGCACACACTTTCCAGCTGGGACTTTTCTCCTGGCTGTTGAATAAGCCAAGGAGCAAGAGAGCACTCTCCAGGCCCAAGGTAAAGTCCACAGCTGTTTGTTCCTGTTAAAAGCTCTTTGGCGCCAGTAACCCATTGGGTTATGATTTATTTTATTTCAGTTTAAAGTAGCTGATCTAATTTCTCTGATAGGATCGATGCAATGACAATGGTTCTGTCTTTTCACTGGATTCAAAAATAAATATTATTGGCGGGCGGGTGGAGGATACCCAGCCAACGAGGGGGGGGAAAAACAGCATTTTTCAGCTAGAAATTGAATCCTCGGTTCTAAAGGGATAGGAATGGCTGTTCCAAATTCAGGCAACAAGGACATCTAGGCTGCTTAGGTGTGTGCTGAAAAAATGCCTGTTCAAATTCATACTGGGCTGCAGCTGTCCAGTTTCCAACTTCTCCTCGCTTCTTCCAGAAGCCTGCAGTAAATTGTAGAGAGTGCACAATTTAAAATAAGATTATTTTTCGATGCAAGTTCAGGAAAGATTGTTTTTCTCCCCTTTGGATGTGGCAATTGGAAACGTCCCTCTGATTTCCAATCACCTGTTCCAATTCCAGCTTCAATGTTATGATGCATCGACTAATCTAGGAAGCAAAGGCCAATGAATCCTAAATACAAATGGGACTTACAGAAGGATCTTGGCTTTAAAAAGTGGGGATCCAGGGGCAAGCAGTGTTTTTGTTTTCAAAATTAAATACCATAGATGTTCCAGATGTGACAACCAAAGTGGAGGTCTCTAGCTCATTAGCTGACCCCATGGCTAATGGTGCAGAGGTGCCAGGTTTAACTCACAATTTCCTGGCTTTTGTTGCTCTGTTTCACAACACAGATTATTTAAAGACTTGTATTTTGTTTTAAAACGGGATGAAAAATTTGAAAGAGAATATTCCACCGAAGGCTATTTAGTGGATAGTGATTCAGATCCATTCTAGTCTGCTGGACAGTTTGCTATAGCACTTACAAATATGCATTGTTTACCTGAAAACTAGTTGAGATTCTGGTTTTTTTACCCCCGGGTGTACTGGTTAACTGCAGTTTCTGTAACAATGAGCAAAACTTTAGTATGTTTTATTTATTTAAAGTTTTATGTATTTAAGCTCAAAAAACCAATTTTGTTTAAACAATATTGGAGAAGCATTTTTCTTTGCCAGTATCTTTTTCACAGAAAACAAGCATGAGAAAAGTTTCACAACTGGAATACATCTTGTTTTTAAAAAAACAAAACATGTAATATTTGCTCTTGATTAAGATTTCCCATGTAAATCTGCAGCTGAGAGCAATTTTTTTTGTCCATGTCCAGCCAAATATATCTTGAGGCAGAAGAAAACATTATTGAAAATCCCAGGGTACTTTTTAGAAAGAATAGGGGTGTTAACCCCAGTGTTCTGGCCAAATTGTAAATGGGTAATTACATTCCAACCACCTACATGCGCCCTGTATTTTCAATTTATTGCAGGATTCTTTACCTCTGTGTTTAAGTCTTGTTGTTGTTCATTGTTAGTTAATTGTACTTTTGTGGGGCATCAAGCATTTCCTATACATGCTCTCAACCTGTGTTGAGCTGAGAGATCAGGTACCTTAACTTATACCAACACATTGTTAAAGAAAAAAGAGGCCTCAATTTACCCCAAACTCCAGAGTATCTGAATGATTTTTCCAGTCTCATTCAAAGAAATGAAGTTTGACTGCAGATTGCTGGTCTAAATCAACAGAGACTGCAAAGTACTTTAGGATCCATTTGGACAAAAGGAGTGCTATAAATATAAAACCATTATTTCTCAGAGGAGCAGTTGTCTTAGTCTGCATCTGTAAAAACAACAAGGAGTCCTATGGACCTTAAAAATTAAGGACTTGTCTTGACTCTGGGAACTGGACTTGATGATCTCCTGAGGTCTCTTCCAGTTCTAGTATTCTATGATTCTAAGATCAACCCTGCTGCAATCAATCTTCCAGAGTTTGATTTAGCGAGTCTAGTTAAGATTTGCTAAATCAAACTCAGAGAGCTCCACCCAGTACTCCTGTGAGGAGAAAGGGAAGCTGATGGGAGTGTTTGCTCCTGTAGGTCTTATGCAGTGGGGACGCCACCGAGGTTGCCTAAAGGTAAGCCAACTCCAGCTACATATACCGAACTACTGAGTCTAGTGTACACCTTGCCTAAACAGATTTATTTCGGCATAAGCTTTCATGGGTAAAACCCACGTCATCAGATGCACCCATGAAATCTGTTAGTCTATAATGTGCCATAGGACTCCTCGTTAATATATTTTTGACATTGAGAAATAGTTGCCTCTCACAGCCTACATTTTTAGTATTTATATAGTTACAAATGCGACTGTATAAATGGCACAGATTGCCAAGAAATAATTGTCTAAAGTGAGATTTTGCAGTGATTTTTTTAATGCTAGTTGCTACATTGCACTGTGAAGCAGATAGTCACTAAGGCAGTGATGCACTTCAGGTACTCCCTGGTTGAAGCAGGTATTTACAAGGGGGTGGGTAAGCATTCCCTACTTTAAAGGGATTCTAACAGGATTAACAAGCCTAAAATCAAACCGAAGGAATAAATTCTGCTGCTGTTTGGGTTACAGCAGACTGAGTGAGTCATTTGTCCATTCTACCTCTGCCACTTTTGCAGCACATAGTAGCATAGTGATAATCAAAAAGGAGAGATTGTTTTAGGCAGTTTAAGTTTGGAGCTCCAATCAAAACACTTGAATACACTTGTGGCTTGATGCTTCCTGTACTGAGAGCCATGAACTGGTTTTGCCTTCAGGGAGAGTGAAAAGTTGTAGGTCTTCAGAGGTACTCCCAGTCCCTCAACAAATTCAGTCCTAGGATGTGGAGATCAATCTCTAGAGCCCTGCATGGATACAAAATTGGTATCCACATCCACAAAAATGATCCACAGATATATAATCATAGAACACTAGAATTGGAAGGGACCTCACAGCAGGACTAAGCACTGTCTAGACCATCCCTGACAGGTGTCTGTCTAACCTGCTCTTAAACAGCTCCAGTGATGGAGAATCCACAACTCCCCCTAAGCTTTATTCCGGCGTTTAACCACCCTGACATGCAGGAAGTTTTTCCTGATGTCCAACCTAAACCTCCCTTGCTGCAATTTAAGGCCATTGATTCTTATCCTATCCTATCCTCCTCCTCCTTATACACCCTTTTAGATACTTGAAAACTGCTATCGTGTCCCCTCTAAGTTTTCTCTTTTCTAAACTAAACAAGTCCAATTCTTTCAGTCTGCCCTCATAGCTCATGTTTTCTAGACCTTTCATCATTTTTGTTGCTCTTCTCTGGACCTTCTCCAATTTCTTTCTTGAAATGTGGTGCCCAGGATTGGAACAATACTCTAATTGAGGCCTAAACAGCAGAAGAATGACTTCTCGTGTCTTGCTCACAACACTCCTGTTAATGCAGCCCAGAATCATGTTTGCTTCTTTTTACAACAATGTCACACTGTGGACTCATGTTTAACTTGTTGTCCACTATAACCTCTCAATTCCTTTCAGCCATACTCCTTTCTAGATAATCGCTTCCCATTCTGTATGTGTGAAACTGACTGTTCCTTCCTAAGTGGAGCACTTTGCATTTGTCCTTATTAAACTTCATCCTGTTTACCTCAGACCATTTCTCTAGTTTGTCCAGATCATTTTTCTATTATGACCCTTCCTCCAAAGCACTTGCAACCTCTCCCAGCTTGGTATCATCTGCAGATTTAATAATCGTACTCCCTATGCCATCATCTAAATCGTTGATGAAGATATTGAACAGAACCGATCCCAAAACAGACCCCTGCTAACCTCACTTGTTAAGCCCTTCCAGCATGATTGTGAACCGTTAATAACTACTCTCTGAGAATGGTTATCCAGCCAGTTATGCATCCACCTTTTAATAGCCCCATCTATGTCGTATTTCCCTAGTTTATTGATAACAAGATTTAAAGTGGATATCCACAAATTTGCAGGGTTCTAGATACCATCATCGTCAGGACCTGACCAGTCCCAAATGAGAGAATTTGCCAGACCAGGGGAGGTCTCCTGCCACCCATCCCCAACCTCAT